CCCCAAAACCCCAAAACCCCAAAACCCCAAAACCCCAAATTGGCTGAGTAGATTGGGAATATTTATAAATTTTATTTTGTATTATCATTATAAATATGAAACCGATCAATTGCAAAAGTTGATGAAGACTTACCATCACATTATCCATTCTGCTACTCTGGATGGTTACAATCAGGAAGGTAGCAGCAACAACTCTCGAATGGGACTTTGACAGTAATCCTGACTTTCCAATCTTTCAAAGTGCTGGACCAAATGCAAACATCACGTGAGTCAAAGCTTAAATTTACCTTTGAGTTAGCTTCTTCATGGATATTTCTGAAAATAATTCTACAATAATAGAATAAGTAGTACGGATCATTACCTAAAATTTGAGAATGTTGAAACCACTGATCTTGATAGAGACCCTACGGGGATGGTTGTGCTGAACTCTCAGAACATAATGGAAATCACAGATGGCACTTTTGCTACCGACGAATCTTATACGGTGTACATGGAGTTGTACATCTACAAGGAGGCTTACAACAGGTATTTTTGGACATAATTGTAGCACCCTTTTCTGCAAGCATTTGAATCTTTATACAAACATTGGATCAGGAAATACAGTCAGATGGTGTATCAGAATAGAACAGGCTTCAAATACTTTTCATGTATATTCAGAAACCTATGATGATGATGAGAGATGGACTAATAATGTCACATACAGCAATGCCACAATATCAGGCTGGCACGCTTTTAGATTTACTATTTCTTGCCCAGGTTCTTGTACTAACTATCTATTTTACACTAGTAAATTATCTTTTTATTTTACAGACATAACTGGTGCTGCAGATGGAACATTCATTGGACAGGAAAGTCTATCAAGTACATCAGTGACTGATTATCATTGGCCAAAACAATATTTTGGTCAGTTCAAAAACGAAACAGGCTCTGTTCCTGCTTCAAACTTCTTTGTAGGAATGATTGATCGCCTTGTAATCTGTGATTCTGGTAAGCATCTTTCTCATCCACCAAATCTCCTTCATCTCACTAAAAGCAGCCTCAAATCCCTTTCTAAATAACTGTTCTAGTTTAATTTCTCTTAAAATTTTCTTGTTCCCGAACTTTTAACTTCTCCTCGAGCCATAGGTAGTAGTACTTGAATTCTCAGCCATGTGAAAACACTTATTTGCTGAGCTATTTAAAAAGTTAGGTAGAATTTTTCTGAAAATTACGGCCCTGGCTCTTAGGAGCAAGAAGTCCAAGATGCATGGAAATTTTAAAATTATAGATCCCAATGATTGGTGTGGTGAAGATCCGTCAATTTTAAGGTAATTTTTAAAGATATTTTTAGAAATCAACTGATAGAGAAGTCGAAATTAGTAAGAAAATGTGTAATTTAGTAGCTTTATGAGTACCATTGGCCTCTGAATGATGCTTATAACTCTTACCATGAGAGTGAGTTCAGACAGGTTTCGTATGAAAAGATCAGACATGATAGTGGGCAAGACAATCTTGTTTTTTATAATGATGATAACTTGAGAGTAGTATATCCAACCAATAATGGATGGGTAAGTCTTTACAGAGATAGCTGGATACGTACTGAATCTTTCCCATTCAACAATGCTATCCAGTTTACCATTGAGTTTGAGTTCCTCAAATTTAAAAAGGATACTTCCTTTGAAGTGTTTCCTTGGGCAGACGATGGAGATGATTGGAGCCAATTCAGGTAAGATAGCATTGATATTTATTAGAGGAAAATACTACTACTTGATGACTGCATCCTCTAAAAAATCATTTCATTGGTGTGACAGCCTTGACGGAGCTAAATGGACCAAGGTATGCTTTAAAGTAATGTTTAGAGCATCATTTCATATACCTACAGTGATGAAGCAAACAAGATCTATTTTGGAATGGGAAGACAGATTTTAAAAGATATTGGAGACCGTAAGATATCCTCACTTTCCTTAAGTTCTGAGAATAAAATATTTTATGAGAGCAAAAACACTTTATGCATGAAAATTACTTTCTTTCATTTAAAATATACTTAAAAAGTTTAGAGTGGTAAATTTACAAAAGAATCTATAGCTTTTTCTCTAAATTTTCAGATTTTCATAACTCTAAAAGGGTATCTTTCCATTTTTAAAATGCAAACTTTAATCGAAGTGTTTTGTATGTAGTGTCAGTTTAGTGAATTCCTTAAATGATGGTATAGCAAGTGCGACAGATTCCAAATTCCTTGATCATCACGTTGATGGAGGACCAATGTGGGGTTTGAACTCAGCTACTATGTCCATCAGGATTAAAAACCTCAGAGTAAGCTCTTTCTCACACCTAGGGGATCATCAGGAATGTGAAGTACTACCCATGGGCTCTGAACGGAGACACTTTCAAAAATCATGGTAACTACACTGATCCTAGTAATTCTGGCTGGGAGTATCAGGAGGATCTTGACGATGACTACTTCGTAAAGTTTAGGGAAGATAAAAAGACTATCTCCAATGCTGATAATGCTTGTCTAGTAAGCTCTAATATTACCTTGTAGAACTACTTTACTGCTCAGAGTGAACTCTGCAAGGACTTGACCCATAAGAAGAAAGAGTATTGCTCAGAAGGATTTAGAGATGAGTATTACCATTGTATTGATCGCTGAGGCGATGGCATAGTTCAGATGTCCCCAAGAATGCTAGAGTGAGACGATGGTAATACAGATGAGAATGATGGCTGATCTAAATCCTGAACTATTGAAGATGATTGGGTCTGTAAAGTTGATCCTATCCTTAATAATAAATCCTATTGCCAACCAACCTGTGGAAGTGGGACTCTTGAAGATCCTGAAGAATGCGATGATGGCAATAATAGCAATGGGGATGGCTGTGAAACTAACTGAACCATTACTAATAAATATAGTTGAGAGGAAGAGCCCGGCCAGCCTTCTTACTGCACCCCTGCATGAGGAAACTCTGAAATAAACCCAGAGTATGATGAGAAGTGTGATGATGGCAATAATATGGACTTTGATGGCTGAGATAAAGACTGCCAAATAGAGCTCAATTATGTCTGTCACCATGAAGTAGGTAAGCCTGATAACTGAACAACTGAATTCTCAAGACCTGTAATTGTCTCTGATAAGTTTGATGAAACGACAAATACGATTACTATTGGATTTGATCAAGAGATGATGAACCAAGAAATCAATGAAACTAGTCTGCTGTTATTCATTGAAAGTCCAAATACAGAAATTTATTTTACATTCACAACTAAGTTCGAAGGTAAGTCATTGAAATAAGTCATTAAAAGTAATAACCTCGCTTTAGGAAAGAATTTTATTGTCAATTTCACTCCGTCACCACCTTTTGTTGGTGGAATTGGTGAAATTATCACACTGACTTTGAAAGAAATTGCGATGTTCAAGTCAAATAACAGCATCCCAATGCTGTCGGGTGTTGCTTTTACATATGCTGTTCCAGCATTTCCTGTGAGCGGCTCAGCTGAAAGCTCAGGAAAAGGCGCCTCATACACTTTTGTATTAACCATTGGAGCATCACTTGGAGTTAGTATGCTGACTGGTGGATCAGCCGAGACAATGTGGAGTCTAGCAAACACTCTTCAGATTTTATTCTTCATGGGATTGATTGAATTGGAATATACATCAGACCTTGAGAACACATTCAAAATAATGGCTTACTCCAATTTTGATAACCCTCTAACTAAATACGTCACCTCGGTGGTCTTCTTTGGAGTTCAGTTCATAAATTCTCCAGTGAGCACCAACTTTGAAAGTCTGGGATTTGAATCTACCAACATCTTGGTAAACAGCTTTGACAAGATTGGGATGATATGAATCCTTCTCTTCTCTGCAATTATCCTAAGCTGCATCTACAAGAAAGTTAAGGATAGTAATTCAAGGACTGCAAGATGAATAAAAAAAGTTGACAAATCTATCAGATATGAGTCTTTTACCAGGTTTGTCGTTGAGCTCATACTTAACCTCTCTGTTGCCAGCTGGATTAATATCTGGTATGGAAGTATGTCCTCTATAGAAGATATAATTGCATTGGTAGTTTCAAACTTGACTTTGTTAGGGATGCTTATGCTGATCGTTTATGGAATTTATTACCCGGTCTATCACTTTGAGGATATCAAGAGTAAGTTTTCAATCGATCATTTTTATAGTGAACCCTGTTACTCATGAGAGACATTGCCTTTTATTCTTAGACTTCAAAAAAGATAAGATTAAACAGCTTCTATACTTTGGATTCTTCATGATCAGAAGAATTTTGTTTGCTTTTGTAATAGTGTGAATGAAAGAAGATCCTAAGAAGCAATTAATTCTCTGATTTTTTATGTTTGCATGGCAGCTCTATTACTGAGTCCTGAATAAGCCATATATCTCTACAATTAATAACGTTCTCAATGTGTATAATGAGTTAATTTTAATTTTGTTCACTTGTCTTTTATTTCTCTTCACTGAAACAAATGACGCAAAGACAATCACCCGGATAGGATGGGCGTGCATTGGAGTAATTATTGTGTTCTTCTTAATTAACTGGGCTATTATATTCCCCTCCATGATCTATTCGATGCTCAAATCATGCAAAAAGAAGAAATTTGACAAATCAGTATTAGATGAAGGAGGTACCTTAAACCTCTAAAATCTAGGTCCACTATCCCACAAAGTGCTAAATCCAATCAGTAAAGCCTTCCAAAAGCCAGGTAATTCTCTATCCCCATAAATCTAGGTTTTTCTGTTGAGGAATTTCGCAAAAAGCTTGAAGCGAGCCAAGCTCACAACACTCCATCTGGCCAGATCACTATCAAAAAGGTCCCTGCGATCTCTCGAAAGCACTTGGATCTCCCAAGTCTGCCTAGTATAGCTGATCATAACCGAAGGCTTTATCGAAAGACCTCTTTTGCAGGAAGTCCTGACCACAAGCCTTCAAAGATCCCTCCAGTCATGGATAAATTTTAGCTGCTAAATTTGGTTGAAATTTAGTGAGCTGCTTTAAGCAATTTGGGAAATTTTAAGGGGTTTTGGGGTTTTGGGGTTTTGGGGTTTTGGGG